ACCGGCGGCCGCCCTGGTTCCTGCCCTGCCTCTACTCAGACCTTCACATCTGCGTCCAAGCCCAGTACCACGGGGCCATCCCCACAGGCCACAAACTGGTACTGGAGGGGGGCGGGGGGCGCGTGGGCTGGGTGCCCTGGGGCCAAATTAAATCATGACTTTTAAACAGCTGTGAGCATTGTTTTGTAAACCAATCTTGTCTAACCCTCTGCCCGCGAGTGGTGAGCCAACGCCTCTGAAATGAGAATGAAGTGGACAGGGCCCAGCTGTCCTGGGGCAGAGCCAGACCCAATGGGGCGGGGGGGGGGGCTGGTGGGCCCTGAGGGGCTGCTTGTCCCTGCTCCTGCCCCGAGGGGTGCACAGAGGCACCGGAGGGGATCCAGAACCTCCCCTCGAGCTGCCCGTCCCCAGGGGTGCCACCTTCTGAGACACCCATCGCTCAGGCCAATCCCATGTCTTTGGGCAAGATGACTCATTACCAACGGGTCCATGAGGGTGTCCTGGGTCATCCTGCGGAGGACAGGCCCCTCCCGGGGCGTGGAAGGGCGGGGTGTTCCAGGCACTGTGAGGGGAGGGGAGGGGAGGGGCCGAGCTGGAGCCTTCACACCAGCCCACGGACTCTCCTCCCCGCCGTCCCCACAGCCAGCCCCTCTCACCCTGCGACCTGGGCCCATCTATGCCGTGGACGGGGATCGGGGCATCAACCAGCGGATCATCTACAGCATCCTGAGGGGTGAGTGAGCCAGGCCCCAGCGTCTCTCCACTTAGCACCCGACCCAGACCCACCCCCACGTGGGCAGAGCCAACTGGGACCCTGGAGGGGGCCGGCCCAACCCTCCTGCATCCCCCCAGGAAACGAGGATGGCACTTTTGTCATCAACGCCGACTCAGGCAACCTCACCATGGCCAGGAGCGTCCCCAGTCCCAAGACCTTCCTCTTGCTGGTCAAGGTGGGTGCCCTGGCCCGGTCTCCAGGCCCCTCCCTGAGCCCCAGGGCGCAGGACTCGTCCTGCAAGGACTCACTGCTGCCCCCCCCACCCCAGGGTGAGCAGGAGGACCGGGCCCGGTACTCAGTGACCCAGGTCACCGTAGAGGCCCGTGCCGCCGCGGGAAGCTTGCCCCGGTTCCCGCAGAGCCTGTACCGCGGCGCCGTGCCTCTGGGCTCTGGTGTGGGCGTGGCGGTCAAGGATGCAGCGGACCCCTCCCAGCCCCTGAGGATCCAGGCCCAGGACCCCGAGTTCCCAGTAGGTGCCGCCCGGTCCCTGGGCGGGCCTGGCCTCCCCTCTGGGGGTGGGTGGGGGCCATGGGGGCAGCCTGGGCCCAGCGCTCACTGGGGCCCTGTCCAGGACCTCAACTCGGCCATCACTTACGAAATCACCAACAACTCCGACTTCCGGATGGACGGGGAGGCGGTGCTGACCGCCACCCCGCTGGGGCAGGCTGGAGTCTTCTATGCAGAGGTGAGGAGCCGCAGCGCCTGAGGGGCGGGGTCCGGGGGCACCTCAGAGGGACAAGCCCCCTTCCCTCCCTAGGTGCAGGCCAAGAACACGGTGACAGCGGGCACAGCGACCACAGTGGTGGAGATCCAGGTCTCCGAGCAGGGGCCGCCCCCCACAGGTGAGTCTCCGCCTGGTGACCTCAGGGAGGGATCTTGCTGGGGCCTGCTGGGGACAAAGGCAAGCGGAGCTGTGTCCCCGGCCCCCAGGCCCCCCAGGTTCCCCAACACCCCCAGAGACTGGAAGAACAACCCGGCCCTCAAGCAGCTCCACTTCGGAAGCCCCCAGGCCCCCCGAGCCTTCTCAGGGACCCTCCACGACCAGCTCTGGGGGGAGCATAGGCCCGCACCCCACCTCAGGCACCTCTACTCCGGAACCCCCCAGGCCCCCCAAACCTTCTCAGGGACCCTCCACGACCAGCTCTGGGGGGAGCATGGGCCCGCACCCCCCCTTAAGCACCTCTACTCCGGAAGCCACCAGGCCCCCCAAGCCTTCTCAGGGACCCTCCACGACCAGCTCTGGGGGGAGCATGGGCCCGCATCCCCCCTCAGGCACAACTCTGAAGCCACCTGCCTTGTCCACGCCTGGGGGCCCCTCGAGTGTGGGAACCAGCACTTCCCCCTCATCAGCCTCATCTAGTGGGGGCTCACAACAGACCTCAAAGCCAGGTACCTCCCAAAAGTGCCCAGGGCCCAGCAGAACCCCTCACCCTCAGTAGCACCCCGGGGCCCTGGAGTCACCCTTGTTCCCTGACCATGAAGCTGGGTGATCCTGGGAATCACTGTAGGGCCTGCCCGGCCCCGCCCCGCCCTGCCCCAGGTTGGACCAGCAGGGCCATGTGGACTGTGAAATCCAAAGGGGGGAGCCCTGGGAGGTAAACTGGGGTATGTGTGTGTGTGGCAGACCAGAAGCCACAGTTCCCAGGCCGCCCACCCCACTGGCCCAGCACTGTCCTTGCCTCCCACCTGGACCCTCCCTTCAGCAGCCTGGCCCCCGGGGTCCCTGGGAACACAGCCTCTGGGGGCAGGAGAGCTGGGGGGGGGGCACTGGCCTGGCCTGTCCCAGGGCGTCTGAGCCTGACCACGCTGGTAAGGGAAGTGCCGGGCTGAGCTGACAGAGGGGCGGTGGTGTGGCCTGCAGGCTCGACCGGGACTGGA